GCTGAAAACAAAGAACTGCTCAGTCAGACGTTAATGCTGCTTTAGCTTTTAGCTCGCATCACTCGTGCGTCACCGGTGATGTCACGGCGCTGCAACGGCGCTGCAACAACTCTCCCAAACGCCTCACCTGTCAGCAGCCCTGGGAGCTCTTTAAATTCTGCCACAGCACCTTTCAGGCTCACATCTAAAGAGCAGAGCTCCTTCATATCTCGTCTGCACTGTGGACACAAGCTGGGGGACAGAAAAATGAGGAACAACCGAGAGATCTGGGTTTTTACATGACACACATGTGAGCAATAATCCAGTTATGACTCATATAATCCTTCTGACAGTTTGGTGTCAACAAAGTGTTTGTGTGCTGGTGGGCAGGGTTGGAGAAAAGAGCGAGGGAAAGGAATGCATGAAGGAGATTAGGGAAAGATTTCCAACAGCCAGTGAGGAAAAGATGACAGCAGAGTGTAAATGCACAAAAAGGAGCACTGCAGAGAAACCTCACAGTTGGAGAGAGAGATTTGTGGTCAGCTGGTGTGGGTCAAAGGTACGCCTGTGGTGATCGCCACAAGCTGCGAGAGAGAGAGCGAGGCGGCGCTGAAGGAGAAGGAACAGAAGTAGGGTAATCTGCGGGGATAAGCACAGCCGCCCTTGTTCCTGTTGAGCTGTGTGTTGTGTTTTGGAAACTCGCTCCTGACCACATGCTGAGCCAGCCTCCTGTGACCACCAGCATCTTACTGTATGTCACACATGCTGTGGGCCTCAGGACCAGTGTGGGAAAGCGCTTTGGAGCTATGGCTCAGAGAGCGCTTTGTGCTGGTCGTAGGCCTTGTGTCAGGGTGATGTTCGATAACAGCAGCAGCCACTTTCATTAGTTACAGAGCAGCAAAACAGGCTAAAGGTCACCGAGGCAGGTAACTCCTGCAGATGACACATGAGACACTCTGTCAACCAGTAGGACCAGTATGTACTGCACTGGCCCTTCTTTCTGCAGTATTGATAGCGATAGCACGACCATTCTTCACCACCACTCAGATGTTGGTATCAATTGTGTCTGTGAGGAAGACTTGGGGGCGTGAGCTATTTCAGCTCTTTGTCGAACGTTTTCAACATTTAGCCTGGACACGGTTAAAGACGTCAGGGAGGTGTGAAGAGCTGAGCCCAACATCAGTCAGGCTGAACGTGGATCCTTTCTGCAAATGTGTCATGAAGCTAAAGGAGGTGCCTGAGCCTGTGTTGGAGCGCTGATGGTTTTCCAGGATAGAGGAGTCTGAGCTGTTTTTGAGCTCCGCTTCTGTCAGGTTTGTATTGACCCAGTTCTTTCCCTGGTTATAGCTCACCTGTTCAGTAACAGTGGGATTGTTTCATACATCATGCAGTGTAGTGTGTGTCCTCTTCTGTCTGTCCTCCAAAACTACAAAAATGTGTTGTTGCAGAAACATCGAGCCGGGCCTGCAGGTTTTATTGGGCATTGAAGAGCTTCTGCCTTTTTATCGATTTCCTACTCTGTGATTAGTTGCATTGTTCCAGCACTGCAGCGAAGCTTAGGCCTGACTGCGTGGGCTGTCGTTCGCCCTGCTTCACTGCTGCTCGGCTGTCCAGCAGGCCGGGCCGGCACACAGTGAGCTCATTGTGAGCCGGTGCCCTGCTGGCATTCTGACTAACTGACCACTCTACTATCTAACCCTGGAGCAAGCGCTGATGAAAGGGGGCGACTGTCCTGCTGTCCTACTGCAGCTCGCTGAGACTGGGTGACTCCTCGTCCTCTCCACAGTGGGGACAAAGCACAGCGTACACTGCCCCACAGTATGAAGCAGGCTGCTTTATTAAAGGATGGGTGAAGAGCTAAATAACAGGTCAATAAAAGAAATAACAGACTACGCTCTGTGACTGCAGGAGAATGTAATGAGAGTATTTCTGCAGGTTGTTTACAGCAGGTCTGAACACCTGATGAAGAAAACTCATCACAGATGGGTCACACAGCACTGTGATATGCTGCTGCTGTGGAAGCCGATCACTCTCATTGACCTGATGATAGGATATATATGTTTGTACAGGTGACTGATCTGGTGTTTTTACTGTGTCTGCAGGCTTTCAAAGAGATGCTGTATGCTGCTCAGGACCAGGCCCCGTCTATCGAAGGTATTACATGCACGCACACACAGTCATGCAACTTCCTGTTTCTTTCACCTTCTCCAGTCTTACTTATCAGAGCTGTTGCTGTCTTGCTTTGTACTGGAAACTGTTGTGTTATC